CCCCAAAACCCCAAAACCCCAAAACCCCAAAACCCCATATTAAGTTCATAATAGATAAATTAATAGATTTTATGAAGAGAATTAATTTAATCTTCAGATTGTAGATAATAAACCCATGGAATGATTCCCTTCGTCGATACTATCATCCTTCCTGTTGGAGGATTAGCATCATCATCTCCCTTGTTCTTTGTGACTGAAAGCTGGATAGGCTTACCAGGCTCCAAGACATCTGGCATCTTGGATGCTAGAGAGAATATTGGATTATCAAATGTAGCAATGAATTGTGCTTTCTCAATTAGTGGATTCTTGAATTCAATTGTAATTGGCTTTCCTGTAGGAATCTTGAATGGTCCCTGAGGTTGAGGAGCAGTAGAGTGTCCATACAGCAGTCAAGTATATTCAATATTTTCAGGACTTGCTAATTTCAGCAAGGCTCTACTTTCTCCAATATTGTTAGGTTCAAACCTAATATTGACGCTTACACCAACTCCATTGTTATTTTCAGAAGCTGGAGCTTGCACTTGGGCCTGCTCGACTTTGAAGCAAGTTGATGGATGTCCTTCCATATCTTCTGCTTTCACGGCATAGTTAGTTGGTTTTTTAAGATAGTGCTTGAATTTGAATTGTTGCATTAGCTCAGATCCGAGTGTACATTTGAAATGTAGAGAAGGTTGAGCTGTGGAAACAAGTCCCTTTAGTATAAGCTCATACTTATATAATCCCAAATCAGCTCAATTGAGAGTCAACTCTTCTGTCTCTTCAGAAGCAATCAGAGGTCTGTATGTAATCTCAAAGTATCTCTCAGATTGAGCAGGAATCTTCAGGACTTGTGGAGCAATCTCAATATATTCATTTTCAAATTTGAAATCTTCTCTTGAAATTTGAATATCTTTGCTTGTTGGATTTTCTATCGTAATAAGCTTTGTAGCAGTCTCTCTAACTGGACAAACCAATTCAATAGGGCTTGATTGAATACCTGGCTCAGTTGCCTTAACTTTTACGTTATAGAAGATGTATTCTCCAGATTGTTCATTTTTGAATGTCGTGACAAAGTGTGTTTCTCCCTCTTTATAAGTCAAAAAGTTGAGTTTATAATCCTTAGAGGAGTTAGCTTGGACATCAAAAGTATTAGCACCTCTAATAAACGTAGTCTCATCAGGTTCTCCTTCGATTTCGTGACTAACACTGAATCTCTGTCCAGTCTTAAGCCAATTTTCAATTGGAATATTGATGTATTTCCTCTTCTTTGCTTCAACTTCAACTTCGATCTGATCAAGAGCATTTGGTTTTTCACTTTTACCTAAGAGCTTGTACAATTCAGCTCTTCCATCAGGCAATGGGAAGAACAAGGAAGCTTCATGGAACTCAGTAACCATTTCCTTTTCTTCTTCATTCTCTTTAGCTAATTCTTTCTCTTTTGTCATTGTTAATGGAAGATAAGTGATTTCAAACTCAGCACTTCCATTTGGCGGGACTACCAAGTTATCAGCTCCTCTGAAGTAATCTTTAATAGAATCTTTGCTAGTAGAAATAGTTGGCTTTATCCTCCATTCTTTGTCTGTTGGGTTCTGAACAGTTGCATTCTGGGTTGTTGCTTTCCTGACCATTGTCTCGAACTGAATCTCCTTGGTGAGTTCTTCATCTTGAGCAATACATTTTCCCATTAAGGAAAGATTGAGAACACCTCCCCCAGTGTATTCACATGCAATGTTCTTAACATGGATGTCATTGTCCACTCTCCTTGGATGGAAAGTGATATCTAGATAAATATCTTCATGAGGTGGGATATAACCACTATCTGGAGTAATAGTGAAGTTCTTAGAGTAAGCCTTAGTATCCCATTTGTATTTAGCTCTGACATCACCGAAATTAGCGAGTTGTAGCTGTTTAGTAAGCCTACTTCCCTTGATTACTGAACCAAATCCAACAACTTCTTCCATAAGCTTAAGCTCTATTCCATGAGAGACTCCTTGGACTGTGAAAACCTTTTTAGATTCATTACCTTTAACATTTAGCAGAATATCATGAGAGAAGTTTGGCATTCTGTTTTTGGGGTTGAATCTAACTTCAATAGGCATAGACTTTTTCGATTTCAAAGTTACCTCATCAGAAGGAGTGATGCTCAGCTGGTTTTTCTTCAGGTCATCTGGATTTTCACTAGTAAGTGAGAACTGGATGGCCTTCCTACTCTTGTTGATCAAGTCCACTGTTTTTGTAATATCAGCTCCTTTCGAGACAATTCCGAAGTCAACTATGTGTTGGTCTGGGTCTTTGAGTTCGATGATCATTGGAATTCCTTCTCCTTTTATGGCAACATCGATCGAGTAAATTCCGTTAAAGTCGAATGTGACTACCTCGTTGTATTTCCTAATTTCTCGAGGAGTGAAGATGATCGGAATCAATAGCTTCTCTTTCTTATCTTTGGTTGATGGCAACAAGACTTCACCTGGAGATAGCTGCACATCGAGGTAGGGCTTCTTCTCAAAGTTGGTTTCGATAGAAATTGCAGAGTCATCGTTGTTGGTTAGTTCTAACACTGCCTGCACTGGCATTGGCTGTCTGGTGAAGAAGCATGCTCCGAAGTCATATTGCTGGAATGACATTTCTATTCCTGGTTTTCGAGCAGTTCCATTTAGAAGGAAGTTGAACTTAGGTCCTGATGCAATCTTCAACAAGCATTTGTAATTCCGAAGCTTATGTGTGTTCTTTGGGAGATATATAATATCCACATTGAGACTGTTTCCTTTATTGACAGTGCCATTCTCAGGCTCAATCGTTATATATTTGTTGGCTTGCCTCTTGAACTGGAAGTCAAAGCTGAAGTCTCCCTTGTTTTCTATGATGATTGATTTGGTTTTCTTTTCGTTCACAAAGAAGTCTCCGAATTCAAAGCTGTGAGACTCAGTAGGCAGAACCGGAATTTGGGCTTTGTCTGCAAGAACTCCGTAGTGGATGGAATAGCCAACTCCTTTAGCATTGAGCACCAGTGGTCTTGCTTTGTTTTTGACATTACAGATTAAGTTGTAATTGTACTCAGTCTCATATTTTGGCTTGAATAATACCTCAATTGGCACTTGAGATTGAGGAGGAACAGTTCCAGAAAGAGGAGAAATCTTCAAAGAATCTCCATAATCAGGGTTCTCGTTGATAGAGTTTTTGTTAAAGTAGAAAGTAAATGGAATGTGTTCCTGGTTGATTAGGTTTACAGTTTCTCTACTCTTTCCACCAATTAGTAATGGTCCAAAGTTAATCTTTCCAGTTTCGATTAGTACCATTGGTTCTACAACAAATCCTGCAAGCATGAAGGGTTGCACTATTCCTTCGGCAGGGATCTTGAAGTTCCAGTAACTGTAGTGCTCTCCTACATGGTCTGGAATGTATTCGAAATTCACTTTAAATTTCTTTCCACTAAGGATTGTCCCCTTTGGAGTGAGGCACCTAAATACTGGCTTCTCCTTCTTAACTTCAGTCTTGGCAATGTCTTGGTCTTCCACTTCTTCCCACTCGAAGTCATATCTGTGGTTGGTGGGGTTAGCCACCATGAACTTGGAGAAGTTCTTAACTTTAGTTCCCAAAGACTGGAACTCAATAATCTTGTACTTGGAGTCGATAGGAGCCATGTCTTTTCCTTTCTTTTCTCTGTATTGACTGGGAGGAAGCTCGAAGTGGCAAACTGGCCTTTCAGCATCACCATCCACCTTTATATTGATCGGCTGCAATTGTGGGTCGAGGTTCTGGATCTTGCAGGCAAGCATTCGAGAGAAGTCTCTTTCAATTTCATTCGGAGCGAACTTCACAATCAACAATTCGTCTGTCTCAGGAGGGATGACTCCAGATCTTGGACTGATGGAGAAAGCTCCAGCGTCTGATGTGTTTGTGACAGGGTTTAGGATCTTGAAGTGATAATTTAATGCTATTTTGCTTTTGTTTCTAATATTGAACTTATAGCTTCGAGCACCAAACATCAAAGTTGGCTTGAAGATAATCTTGTCAACGTCACATTCGTACCGGGCATAATCTGCTGTGACTGATGCCTTAAGTGCAAACTGTTTCTCAGATCCTTCAACTTCTTCGAATGGTGGCTCAGGCAGTGCCTCAGCATACTCTTCAGTGGGTTCTTCAGACTCATCAATTTCCATGTCTTCTTCTGGCAATCTTTCTTCTTTCTTTTGAGGAGGCTTTTTACCTTTCTTCGCAGCGGTTGCAGCGGCCTCTGCTTCCTCTTTCTTTCTGCGCTCTCTGGCTTCTTTGATTCCAAGCATTCTTTTAAGTTCACTTGGCCTGATGAGTTTGACTTCGGTCATGCTGTCGTCCCAGTCTACGAACTCAGTTGTCTCCTGAGTAATTGCCTTTGTATCGCATGTAATTTCAGCATCGGCTAGTTCTGCAGGTTCTTCTGTGAGGTACCTAACTCTGATATTCTTGGAGCTGTTGGGCCTGAGGTATCCGACTGAGGGTATGAATGCAAAGCCTGCCTCTGCTACTCCCCACTCGAATCTTATTGGGGTTTCAGAAGTGTTCAGTATATCGAAGGTGACAGATTTCGGTTTGTTGACAATGGCGTCTCCAAATTTAATGACATCTTCCTGGTCCTCAGGGAGGTTCTCGAATGACACAGACTCCTGATATCCTTCAGCCTGAATTACCACTTTGTGGCACTCGAAAGGATTGTGAAGAGTTTCAAACTCCATTTGGTAAGTGATGGTTTCAGCGTTTGTAGGAGTAAACTCAATATCACTGGAATAGTAGTTTTTAGGCTCTAGTGTTGCACTTGTCTCTCCTTTAAATTTCAAGTTTTCGTGATTAATAGCCTTAAATTTAACAGTTGCTGGAACAGCTCCTTCATTATGAATTGTTATGGTTCCTTTTGTCTTCTTTCCAATTCTAGTTTTCTTGAGTTTCAGCAGTGGAAGTCCTTCTTCAGTCAGCTCTGTGGGCTTTGTCAAGATCAGAGTTGGCAAGGTTCCTTCTCCTCTAAGCTCGAAGGTGAATTTTCCAGAGCTACTTTCAGGATCTCCATTTTCAACATTTGCTTCAAAGATTCCTTCATAAGGCATCATGTTGTTTGGCTTGAAACTTACTTTCACATATGCATTTTCGTGAGGAGGAATTTTGACGCTTTCAGGAGACACTTCGAAAGCAAATCCTTCTCCTTTGGACTGAGTTCTCGGATTCACACTGAAGTTGACTGTGCAGGGAATCTTGTTTGGATTCATGATTTTGAACTTTTCAACAACGCCTTCTGGCACTTTGGACACAATCAAAGTTCCGAACCAGAACACTTTTTCTTGGATAGCATACAGAGGAGATGTGATTACTGACTGAGTGTTCACGCTAGGATCGAGAGATGGAATCACAGTCTGTTCTTCAAAGATTGCATCAAGATCTTCAGTGTTGATTCCAGGAATGCATGACTCAGCACTGATGTCGAACTTGATCCCTTCGGGCTGATCACTTGTGTCACGACCTGAAATATCAATAGAAAGTGAATTTTCATAGAACTTCGCGCCAACAGCCGAGAAATGGATCTTAATAGAAGCAGAGTTTTCTGGCTCAATTACCCCACTCGCTGGCAACACCTTGAGCTCTTCTCCATCTATTCAACATACGTCTTCTCCTGCATCTTTGCCCTTAGCTTCTTTCCCTTTAGCTTTAGGATCAGCCTTTTTGTTGGCCTCTTTTCCATCTTCCAATCCTTCTCCAAGTGCTTTGTTTCTCCTTTCTTCTATCTCCTTCTGCCTTTCTTCCTTGATAGCTCGTTTAGCCTCTTCATCGCTGTAGTCTCAGATTGCAAAGTTGAATGGGAAGCGGCCGTTATTCATGATCTCGAATGCCAGCACCTTCTGCTCGCCATACTGCATTGGGCCAAAGTTGATGTTACGCAATGGAGCTATTGTGTATTTCGAGAACACAGAGTTGACATTGAAGTTTATAGGTATTTCATTGTATTTCTCCTTACTCTCTCCTTCTCGAATTGTGAGCTTTATGTCACTGGTCGAGTGGCTAGTTTTCATTTTAAACTCCTTATTTACTCTCAAACAGAACTATGATATCCTTAGCTTCTTCAGGCTGGAGCTCGCCTTCGTCTGGTCGAATAGTGAATATTTCTCTAGTTAATCTTTTCTTCATGTTGAACCCATATTTCACAGAATACTTTCCATTGTTTGTGAGAGTCATTACGAGCTGCTTTGGCTCTCCTGCCCTGACATCTCCGAAATCAAGTAGATTCTCTTCGCTCTTAAGATCAATATCAACAGTAATTTCGAAAGCTTCAGCCGCAAGCTCTATTTCCTGTGGCTCTTGCTTGATGTTGAAGCCTTCAGTGTCTTCAACTTCTAGTGCGAGCTTGTGATTGAACTGGTCTTGCTTTTCTGATAAGAAGCCAATCTCAACATCAACATCCTGACATGCTTTGAGGATTCCTTCGAGCTTAGAAATCTTGAATTCTTCTGGGAGCTGCTCCTCACTCTTGAGTTCCCATTTCACAGGAATCTGGCAGTCGTTAGTCAGCTTGAGAATTCTCTTAGCTGGTTTATTGAGCAGCAACCTGTCGAACTGGACAATCGGATTGTCAACTTTTATAATGGGCTTGACTCCAGTGCACTTTAAGTTGAAGATTGCTGGATTAGGGTTTTCCTTTATCAAAGCTACTACTTTGTCTTCATAGAACTTATCTTCTTCAGGGAAGCTCCAAACTGTGAATTCCTGTGTTTCTTCAACTTTAAGGTCCATTAGTTCAGGCTCAAGAATGAATGGAGATTTTGGCTGAGTCTCTTCTGACATCAAGGTACTCTCGAGAGCAAACTTGACTTGAATATTGTATTTGCTATTGTTTGAGATTCTGAACTGGGAGGAATTTGCTTTTCTCAAAAGTCCACTGTTATCATCTTCATCATTTCGCTTCTCAGGATCTTTTCCTATCAAGAGTGGTCCAAAATCAAATGCTCCTTCGCTAGAAATATAGCATTTTGATAGATAAGACTCAGGAGCAGTTGGAGGTCTCTGCCTCTTCTGAACCATAAATACATTCTTTGGGTTTGTGTTGATTGAAGGAAATTCACACAGTGCTTTGATGTCTCAAGGGAACTGCCTTGATGATCCAACTCATTCGAAGTTCAAAGTCTGGTTGAACACTCCAACCTTTGTCGATAAGAATTTAATGTGCAATGGCTTTGATTCTCCAGGCTGAAGTATCCATCTAGTAATAGAGTCGTCAAGGGATGACCCATTTTCCGCATCTCCTTCTTCATTTTGGGCATTCAGATCTTCATTCTTCGGATCTTTGTTTTTCTTATTTTTGCCTTTTTGATCTTGCTTATCATCTCCAGGTTTCTCTTCTTTTTCTTCCTCATCTTCTTTGTTTTCAGCAGGTGTCCAAATGCTGAAGAGAGTCACCTTGGGTCTATCTGGCCTGTTACTTGGCTTCTTAATGATCTGTTGAACCAGTGGTTGAGGGAGTGGCTCCTTGTCTGGATCTGGCCATAGAGGCTCTGGAATATTTTCCTTGACTTTCTCTCATAAATATCTGAAATTGTATTGGGTTGGAATTTCGAATAATATTCTCTTTCCAAAGTATTGAGGATCTTTCTTCTCTTCTTCACCTTCACCTTCTTTGCCCTCTCCTTCGGCTTCATTCTGGTCAGCTTTCTCATCCTCTTCAATATCTTTAATATCCTTGTTCTCTTCTTTATGTGGTTCTTCCTCTTGGCCTTCTCCTTCTGCCTCATCTGCTTTTTCGTGCTTCTGGTTCATCTGCCTTAGATTGATCTCAGTGAATAGTTCTAGTATTTCCTGTAGCTTAGAAGTGTATTGCTCTTTCTCTTCATCGTCGAGAATTTTAGGCTGCGGTTCATCTAGTCTCTTTCGGTCTTCTTCCTCTTTAGCTATCCTAGCTCTTTCTTCTTCCTCAGCTTTGCGTTTCTGCTCTTCGATCCTGCTCTTTTCTTCCTCAGTCAAGACATCTCTCTTCCGGCCTCTCCTGCCAGGTTTTCCTTGCGAAGTGTCCCTCTCCGCGAATGTTCTATCAAGAGCTTCTTTTTCAACTGTCTTATCAGCAACCATTTTACGGAGCTTGTACTTGTAGTTCTCACAATACTCTAAACCATCTTCAACCTTGTTGAGTCCGATGGTGACGAGGGATACAGTTTCTTCTTGGAGAGCATCACAGATAGCGTCAATGATAGTCTTCTCATCTTTCCAATTGTCTCAAAGAATATTGTCGAAAATGACTCCTGCATTTCATTCTTCATCGCTGCATCTTTCTTGTATGAGTTTCATGAGCATTTCTTTAGGGATAAATTTGTACACTCTTGGGTCGAACTCTTCTTCACCCTTCTTCTTTTTCTTCTTTTCAAGCTCTTCCTGTGCTTTACATTCAACATCTCTTTCTTCAAGGTACTTAGCGACTTCCTCATAAGTAGGAGTGGCGTTCTTCTCTCACCAGGAGAGTAAATCTGCGAGGCTGACTATTCCTCTCTGATGCTCCTCAGAAAGGAAGTGAGCCAGGGTACTCTTTCCACATTTTTCAGGACCAAAGATGATCACACTTAGCCTGTCTCTGGTTTTTACTCTTGGCTTAACTACCTTCTCAACTTTTCGGGCAGGGTCAATCTCAGCGAGTTTTTGCTCTAACTCTGATTTCTCCTTCTCTAATTCCTCTTTCTCTTTCTGTTGCTCTTCAGAAAGTGGCTCTGGCTCTTTTGCTTCATCTCCTTCTTTATCTTCCTGACCCTCAGGCTTTTCCTCTTGTTGAGGTGGCTTGAAGTCATTTTCCAGTCGTTCTTCAATTGCCGCGATTCTATCTTGCATTGCTTCATACTCTCTCTTCTGTTCATCAGCTTGTCTAATATTCTGGCTAAATCCTGAACCAGCCTCTCTGAATGCTTCAAATATAGGATCTCCTTTGTCTGTGTTCAATGGGTCATATCTTTTCAGAATCTCTTCCTCTTCGATGTACTGCTTGTCGAATTCAGTGCTGAACACTTCGATGGGAAGAGACATTGGATTCCTGAGTTGGATAACTCTTTCAGCAGACTTATCATACGGAAGCACAGGACCCATTTCAATAGAGCTGTCAATTACATCCAACGCATAGTTTATTCCATGTCCTCGGGCATTTAGCACGAACAGTTTATTGTTGTGGTTGCATTTAAATTGAAGCTTCTGAGTAGCCACTTTCTCGTGAGTTGGAGTGAAGATAACATCAACTGTCTGTTTCTGTCCTGGAAGGAGATGTCCAGAGAGAGGACTCACTCAGAACTTATCTGCCTCCTTGGAAGCTCCAGCATTTTGGATACTTTCTTTAGAATAGTAACTCCAGTCACAGGAAATTTTATTGATGTTTTCGAAGCGAACTTTAACAATTTTCCTGGTACCAACAAGGACCTTATTGAACTCAAGGTTGTCTGGAGAAATTGAGATTTCTGGGATAGTCAAGTTTGCAACAAACTCAATTGTGTATGAAGCTCCATATGAAAGATGGAATGGTACAATGTTCTTTACTTTTCCATGCTTAGCATTTTTCCTGGTTGTGTATACCACTGTGAATTGCATTGAAGAGTTTGGAGGAAGTTGCTTTGGTGGTCTAGCTGGATCAATAGAAAGGCCAACCTGCTGCAGAATCCTAGGATCAAGTTGGAAGTTTAGAGGGCTATTTACCACAATTAGTCATTCTAAACGTCTTTCTTTTACTCTGTCCCACAATTATGTTTCCGAAATTGCAGATATAGTTTGTGATAAATACTTTATTGCTTTCTTCAGTCACTGCATTTCTCTCTTCGTCAGCTGGGCCAGCTGCTCTAACTGGAGTCATTCTTCCTCTTCTTCCAGTAGCTCCTAGTTGGTCTCCCCCAGATTCATTTATTCCAATAGCACTCCTTGCTTGGCTAGCCTCTTCTTGCTCTAATAATTTTTCACATAGGAAGAGTCTGTCAGTCTCTGCTTCAATGTCCATTTGGTAAGGATCAAGCTGGAACTTATCTTGCTTGCCTTTTCCAGCTACGACAACTTGGATATCATCTCCTGAAAACTTAGCGTCATATTTGAGCTTATTTTTCTCCATTAATCTCTTAGTCTTCTCAAATCTTTCAGGGAAAGAGGCATCATTTCTAGGGAATGTCAAGAGGGCTCCAGGGCAGATTCCCACTGCCTTTATCTTGAATCTTTCTGCAGGGAAGTGAGCACATTCTACCAAGAATATTTCATCTATGTTATCTGGAACTCCGGGTCTGAACTTCAGGTTGATTCTAAATTTCTCTCCGCTCATTACTTTTCCAGTCATTGGGCTGACCTCAAGAATTGATTGTCTTGTTAAGGTAGATAGGTTAATATTGAACTCAAATGGGACTTTTCCAGCATTCTCAAGATAGAAGTCTTTTGAGTCGTGGCTGCAGTAATTTATTTCTCCAAAATCAATTTCTTTTGTCGATAACTGGTAGGAAACAAAAGAACTCTTTCCTTGTAGAGGCACTTGGTAATCAGGTCCTCCATCGACTGAGCATACAGCAATTCCATTATATTCTTTTCCATGGCCGGCATAGTAAGTAAACTCTACAGTCTCTGTTTCTCCTTCTTTGAGGATTCCACTGACTGGAAGAATGTCAAATACTTCATTGATAGGAGTTTCTTTCTTCTTTTCTTTGACTTCATCATCATCTCTGTTGAGAGAGGTAGTCTCCTCTTCAAGGAAGGACCAATCGTAAGTGCATACCATCTCTGAAGTATTAGTCATTGTGATGTATCTCTTTTTAGAGGTATCATTTAGGATGCATCCAAAGTCAATTGCTGCAGGATCGATTTTGAGATTTGGATAGCATACTTCTCCAAATAATTCAACATAATCTTTCTGAGGATGGCCTTTGTGAGTAATCTGGAGCTTACTTTCGTTCACTCCAGATATCCTATCTTGTTTCATGCCTGGGTCAAACTCAATAGAAATTGTCTCCTTTTTCTGAGGAGGAAGAGTAAGATTTTCAGTCTGACAGCTGAATGGAGGAACTATTTTCAAATAGATAGTTGTGGGCAGATTTCCAATATTTGTGATATCCAAAGGCCTAGGAATTGGCATGGCATGAACGTTCTTTTCCCATCTGTATTTGAATGATAACTTAGGATCTGAATATTCGAGTTGAGGCCCAATAAATTGCCCAATACAAGTTGTCTTATAAGCTTCTTTTGGCCTTCTTTCTCCTCTAACGATTGTAGTTCATATGAATTGTTCAGACATTTCACCTTTTTGGAACGAATTAGCTCTGAACTGAATATGAATTCCCATTTTTGGTTGAAGCTCTACTTGTTCTGGAACGACGGCAAAAACATACTTAAGTTCATCTACTTCTTCTTTCTTTTCAGAGATCATAGATTTATTCTCAGAGACTGCATCCTTATTTTCTTTGTTTTCTTCATCTTTCTTTGGCTTCTTCTTTCTATCATTCGGCTTGTTTACTCTAGTCCATTGGATTTTCTGAGGCTTCCTTCCTCTATTTTCAAGGAAGAATTCAAGAGTTTCATTAGAATGAGTATATTTAGTTCCGAAGTTAACCTCTTTTAGGTTTTGCTTACATGCAAGAGTGGTTCCAATACCTCTAGCTTTTAACCCAACTTCAAGGTCAACTCCATTGTTGATAATAATATGGAGAGTATCATTGAATTTCTGGCATTCATCAGCATTACAGACCACTTCTAAGGTCTTGCTTTCATCAGGCTGTAGTATTCCATGTCTTTGGATGACCTTCCAGATTGATACTTTATTCTTAGTAAAAGCAGTATATTCTGCAGGGATTTTAGATATATTGGTGATTTTTAATGGTTTAATCACGTTGTGTAATACTTCTACAGCTCCAAAGTCTAGTGCATCATGGTCATAATCAACCTTTGGTCCAGTACTATTAGCCAATACATTCAGCATGAATGGAGGGAGTCCTTCCACCTTAATAGTCATTGGAATCCTCACATTTTGAGTAATCATCTCAGTTCTCAATGTGATTTGTAGTTTGATAGAGCTCCGAGGTGGAATAATTCCACTTTCTTGGTCAGCTTTGAAGATACCGACTCTCTTATAATTTTCTTCTTGCTCGACAATTTCAAATTTAGCTTCGAGATAGTCAGTGTTCTTTAGCTCCATTTCAACTGTTTTTGGATGTCTTAAAAATACATCTCCAAAGTCAAGGTAATCAGAAGGATTGAGAAGGACTGTGGGAACTAAGCATTCGGCTTTTATAGGTACAGCAAGCATGTCCTGGCCAACTCCTTCTAAATCGACCATCAAGCACATGTCATATGTTCTCTGGGAAGAGGGGATGAACTCAATAATGATCTCTTGCTTCTCTTTTGGAGCAAGTCTTCCCCGATCATTCTCAATATTGAATTCATTCTGTAAGGATCTTTCGTCTCCAGGGACTCTGATTACATAATTGATCTCTACATCAGAAGTGTTGGTCAAATATACAGTTTTTCTGGAAGGGAATTTATAAGAGACCTGTCCAAAGTCAATAATCTCTTCAGAGAATTTGAATGTAGGAGCAACTACATGTCCTTTGAATGTAAGAGAGAGCATTTCTACACTGCCGTCTAAGGCCCATCTGAATGTCTCAGAAAACTCTCCAAGTATGTCACTCTTGAAAGCAACTATAATGATATCACTTTGGTTGTCTTTTACTCCAAGTTTTCCTTCAGTCTTAGAGAAATGGAATTTTGATCCGAAAGGAGTTTCGTAAGGAATTAGCTTGTAGTAGCAGGTAATATCTCCCTTATTCTCAATTGCAATTCTGTACTCTTGCTCTGAGTTGACAAAAATATCTCCAATATCCCATTCTTTGATTGAGAGAGCAGCTTTTGGACCAATTCCTTGCCCAGTCAGATTAAGAGGAAGTCTCTCCTCAGAGCAGGTGATGTTGCAGAAAGCTGTACAGGAGTAATGAAGTGGACCTTGGGGCTTGAAGGTCACACAGCAAGTAATCTCTGTGTTTGGCCAAAGCTTGCCTTGCAATGGCTCAATGTTGAAAATTTCATCTTGGAATAACATCAGATCTTCATCTACAGCCTTTCTGATAGATTGATATTTCCTTGCAAGAGTAGCTATCGCCTTCGTCTGAGCTCGTTCTTGCTTCTTGTTTAGTTCTTCTTCATCATACGAGTCATCACTATCTAATGGCTCATTGATTTCTTCTTCAAGATTAGATTCTTCAAGAATCATTCTCTCATTAGCTTCTTCATCATTCAGTTGTGCGATTAACTGAGATTTCTTTTTGTGCTCTTCAACTTCAGTCTGGAATGCTCTCCATGAGAACTCAACGGGAACACTACTTTTATTGACTATCTGAAAATATTGGTGGGAATAGAGAGTGATATAAGTATCTTCCATATGGAGATGGTTCTTGCTAAGATACACATTGTCATTGTGGCTCTCTCCATAAATTTGAATAGCTGCATCCAGATTATCATATCACAGTAGCATCTCTTCCTTGTAGGGTCTACTCTCTTGTGGAATGAACATGAAAACAAGCTGTTCACTGTCTCCGACCTCAAGGATTCCTTGGTTATTTATCAACTAGGAAATCATCAGGAACCTTAAGGTGCCACTTAGTTGTCTTTTCACCTATATTTCTGATCATTACAGGTTTCTCAGCAGTATGCTTTACAGGGACAAGTCCGAAATCAAGAGTGTCAGGGAAGTCAAGCATTGATCTGTATCCAACTGCTCTGATTGGAACAATGAATTTCTCTCTTTCAGTGACAACCATAAGGTCGTAGGAGTAGTCCATTTTAGTATCAGAAGAGAACTTGATGATATATGAGATCTCCATTCCTGGGGCAACTTTGCAACTCACATTAGAGAGATCTGATTTCTCTCCATCCATATGCGATGACATAGTCTGAATCTCTTGAGTCCCTCCGCCTAATTTATGGCTGGCAATGCTTGATCTCTTTAATTTGGTATCGCTATTTATTTCAGTTTCAGCAAACTTTGAGGCATTAGGAGTTCCCTTGATCTTTAAATTTTTCTTCTTTGCAGGGCAAACCTGGAACAATTTGGAATCAGGAGGAATTATCTTCACTCATCTTGGAACCTTGTCTTTGTTTCTATAAAATGATTAGCCCTGATTGGATAAAATTTGGAACCTTAATTTCAAAATCTTCTCTTTGGTCTGGAGCTCCTCATAGTTTGTAAATTGGATGACGTGTGGATTTGGTTGGAAAATAGGCTCATCAACAGGCACATGAGACTCTACATAATTTGAATTATCTCCAATGTTCAAGAACTGGATGATCTTTGGCTTTGGATATTGTTCAAATATGCTCTTGCCAGACATCTGATCTTCGATTACTTTACTTGGAACCTAAAAAGCCTGTTAGACTACTGCAGTTGCTCACAAGAGGGGGTACCTACCTTCTTCATAGTCTTGAGCAGAGTAGGGTTGGGCGCTGACATGTTAGAACTCATATTTAAATTTATTTTATAAGAATTAAATATTTTGATTTAAATTGCCATATAAATTGGGGTTTTGGGGTTTTGGGGTTTTGGGGTTTTGGGG